ACATCCTAATCATGTCATAAACATATACTTGACCATCCAGATATAGTATAAATGTTGAGTTATGGCGGGTTCTATACTTGTGTGGTAGAATAATTGACCACTCAAAACTACTATACAAAGTTAGTTCGTTAAAACGTCATTTGTCAAAAGAAGAACGGGCCACAGGCTAGGACCTCCTGCTACTCTCACCACATGACTCACCTCTCCCTATTTAAGAATAAATGATCATTAGAGTGTCAATATAACTCCTAGAACTGAGCTTCCTACATTCATACCAACTACGCTTGATACAAACACTTGGAATTTCTCCTTAGAAACTCTTAATCCATCACACTTTGAAACATACATCAACCTCATTCAAACCATTAATAACGTTCCATAAAACATACCAAATCATGTCATAGATACCTATCAATGCTTAGAAGAAACTACAAAAGCCAAAGAAATAGAAAACAAAGATTGAAAACCATTTACACTGGCTTTGAGCGGCACCTCCCTATCATTGAGCACCATTCATCCCGCATTTATGGCGCCTGAGCGCCACCCCAAGCAACTGGACGTCAAACCTCCCGCAAATTTGACACTCAGGCCTCGCTGAGTGCCGCTGAGCGCCACGTTAGAACCTAAAATACTTATAATTTGAACTTGGTTGCTCTCTACACATATCTAATTGACTCATATGACCTTCTAGGCATTGTGAATGATCTAAAAATACGTTTATAACTCAAAGTAGCTACCCAAAACCAGCTTGACTACTATAGATTATCTAATCCATAAATTGACAACCTAAGGGTCTAAACTGGTCAGAAATGATCCAACTACAGACCCTAAACCCTATACTTCAGCCCAGACCTACTACTTTAGAATATGATTAGGCAAAACCTCTAAAATTGAGCCTAAAACCTTCCTAAACCACTCCATTGAGACTCATACCTATTTCCATATTAGTATTTTATCAACTGAGGGTGCCAAAAAATTTCAAATGACCTTACAATATGTCCTAAATTGTTGTTTCTCCCCTTAGACCCTTACTTCTAAAATTCACTTATCAAAACCTCTATTTTTGACTAAAAATGACTTATAACTCAACCTAATCCACTTCTTCTCAGCATTATACCCAATTTGACACCACCAAACATCTCGACAACAACATTCATGACAATAATCAATTCCAAACAGAATAAAAAAGGTATATCAACATCATTGAACCAATTACATTCCTTCAAAATACTCAATACTAAGAATGATCATTTCAAACATAATAATCAACATGCATTACTCTCACATACTTATAAATAACAATTCATACTTCATCATTCAATTAAAAGAAAACACTAGTTTTCTTACCTTTTTTAAGACCACACTATTCTAGAGAACCCTATTCCGCTATCACATCTCAAGAAGCTTTATCTATACCTACAAACATTAAAAACACGATCATGTTATTATGTTAGAACTACTAATCAACAAAGAGTCTTATAGAAGACTCAGACATTACATGCAAAATAAGTGGGATCCATATGCAACATAAGAAAGAAAGGACTAAAGAAAAAGTATTTAAACTTATCTTACTTAGACAAAAAAATTGATTAGTCTAAATTGAAGAATCGTCACTAAGATCACTCCTACGGTCTCAGTTCTTCAACCAAATGAGTAGAGAAGAAGAACTTCTAGAAAAAAGTTAGAGAACTATAAAAAAGTGATTTCTAAAGAGATGATACGTTTTAAAATAATGAAACTATTTTTAATAAAATTATTTCATATTAAAATAATTGAATTTAACTATTTTTTAAACATTATCATTTCTAAAACACCATTTTCTAAGTCTTTACCATCATTCTTTCTACTAGTTTATATGTGATGATTATTCATATATATATATATATATATATATATATATATATATATATATATATATATATATATATATATATATATATATATATACACACACACTAGTGAAAAAATAACGTATAATGTCACGCATGTCCAATTACTGAATAACCAACGTTAAAAATGATCGGTGACATTTTTGTAAATAAATACAATTATTAGACGTCGTTTAAAATTTTAATTCAGCGTCAATTTGTTATATTGAGTAAATTTTGCGAAAGGCGTGAAGGTGAAAATGTATTTACGTATGACGTCGAATTCCCTAGAAATAGACGTCAAAAGGATATAAAACGTCGAATGCCCCGTGTTAGACGTTAAAAGGTTAGTGAATTCAATAAAAATTTGAGTGGAAGATTGAAAATTGATTCACTTTATCTTAGCGCGCGATACCCTCTTCTCTGCTCAAACTTTTCTGGAACGAAACTTGACGACCATCACATGTAATCTTTCTTTCATTTGTTACAAAGGCATGTTAATTAACTACTTTAGGTATGATTTTCGTTTGTTTTGACCGATTATTTTCGTGTTTTTGTCATTCATAGGCGCATTCTGCTTTCTCTCTCACTAGTGGCAATACTTTATTTTGACTAACCTACTTTTGAAGGTTAGTTTTCGTTTTTGTTTTGAAGAATTTATTTGTTGAACTTGTTTGCTTTTTCTTTTTGAACTTGTTTGTTGTTTTTGTTTGGTTGAATCTGTTTGTTGTTGTTGTTGTTTGATTGAACTTGTTTGTTGTTTGTTATTGTTTGTTATTATTGTTTGGTGTTGATACTACACAGGTTAATAGTTCATGCTTTATAAAATATCAAAAACTGAAATTTGTTATTTTCCTGTTTTCATGTCTCATAGAGTTGTAAAAAAGATCACAATTAATTAAAAAAATAAAAAAAAATTGATTAACGTCGAATATTAACAAAATTCGACGTTAATACGTCAAATTGTTCTATGTTCGACGTCAATTTAACGTCTTCTGATATGACGTCGATTTCGAATTCGACGTGAAAGGCAGAAAAACAACGACATTATACCGTATTTTTATACTAATGATATTACACAAATAAAGTAAAATTTGTTGTAATGAAAATTAAGCTTTGCTTTCTTTTTATTTTATTTCCAATGGTCATTGGTTAGAAAGTGACAAACAAAAGGTAACAAACAAGAATGGGCTCACAAAAGACGAAAACACAAGGAATTTTCTCTCTGTACCCCAAAAACGATTTTGCTTAACCCCAGTTTTTAAAATGACCCTTTTATTTTTCACGAGGACAACTTCTAGATTATTTATTTTGGAAGTTTTTCATGACAAACTTTATCAAACTTTTAAAATATGGTTTCTGGAATGAAAGTTTTGGAATAGAATTTTCCAAATGAATTTTTGAAATGAAATTTTCAGAGTGCAAAAAATGTTTTATGAAACAGGATTTTTAGAACAGAATATTTAAAACAAACTTTTCAAAATATATAATATTTTTTAGGGTTAAATATGTTTTTAGTCCCTAAACTATTTGTCGTTTCTAGTTTTCGTCCCTCTTCCAAACTAAGGTACAATTTGGTCCTCATTCTTTAGAAAAACGTTCGTTTTAGTCCTCAAAATTTTGTTTTTAGTCCTCGTTTTAGTCCTCAAAACGTTCGTTTTTTCGACTAAAACGAACGTTTTTTAAAGATTGAGGACCAAATTGTACCTTACTTTGAAACAGGACGAAAACCAGAAACGGCCAATAGTTTAGGGACTAAAAACATATTTAACCCTATTTTTTAATATGAGTTTTTTAGATGAGTTCTTGAATAAGTTTTTCCACGACATTTTTTTTTCTCTTTTTTTTTATTTCTTTACAATATTCTCTCTCTTTTCTTTTTTTTCTTTGCAGTATGAGACTCGTGTGTATATACAGATTATTGTTTTTTGTTTTTCTTCTAATTTATATTAATAAAATTAATATAATTATTATATTTAAATAAATTATTTATTTACATAATTATATTGTGCAATACAAATCCATATATAATAAATAAACACAAAATTGATGTTAATCTTTTAAAAAAATTACATATAAACAAGGACAATTCAAAAAACAGAAATATTGAACAACAGCTGATATAGGACATCACTGAAAAATAAAGTTAAAGTTAAACTATAATAAAGAAAAATAACACGTAAATATGAATAAAATGCAAATATATTGTGAAATATAATTTCTATTGAAAATTCAGAGTAATCTAAAGTTAAATTTTTAAAATAAAAATACATACAAATATTGTTATAAATGTAAACATTGATATTATTGATAATTAATTATTAATATGTATGTATAATTTTATTTATAGAATTTTATATTTAAATATGATTTTTTTGTGTTAAATTATAAAATTGACATAATAACTTATTATCGATATGTAATAAAACAGTATTATTAATGTTAATGTTAATATTAATAATAATGATAATAATAAACTAATAATAATAATAATGTCTGTTAATAAATATAATTATAATAATAAAATAAATTATATTACTATTACTAAAAATGAACAACTTTCATAGATTTAAACACATTGTTTCAGACAAAATAACATTCTATTGTCCTTACTTTCAAAGGGGAGGAGAATAGGAGGAACTGCTTTTTTTCTCAAGTATTACCAGAAATGAGTTACAAATTCCTTGTATATAATACAAAACTGAAAATCTTTTGGTAGCCAAGTTATATTTATCCACTAAATAAAATAATACGATACAATTAGATGAAAATCTTTTGGTATAGAATATTTATATTTAATTTATATACAAATTTAATACAAAATATTATATAATCAAATAATAAAACATCATGTTAGTAACCATTACAGATGTTAAAAAAAAATATTACAATACATTTAGTTACTTATATTTACGATTAAAAAATAGCTTTTCTTTTAACAATAACAATAACAGCAGAGATGAAGATATTTTAGTCTTTTCATTTAGTATGGATTGCATTTAGTAACGATGGGTACAGGAATCAAAATCCAGAAACAAAGGCCCAGAATTCCAAACCTAGGAGCTAGGTTTGTTTGGGTTCTTCATGTAACGAAAACGCTTTAAAACCGTCATAGATACACTCTCACTTCCCATCGCCATTGGATTAAGGTATTATCTCAGAAACCCTAAATCATTAATTTATTTTTTCTGCAATGTGGTAGAGAAAGTGAATATGATGAAAAAAGGATGAGTGATAATCAAACATTACATAACGTGTTTGATATGATCAAATTCTCCATCGCTACGTTCTTTCTGATTCACCTTCGTTCACCATTCACGCGCCTCTTTTACTTTTATTTACATCTTTATTTTCTTTAATTTAATGTCTTATTGCAGAAACGAGTCGGAATAGGGAATGGGCTTGATATGGGCCACGGCGGAGGAGTTGAGCCACAACAGAGCCCGAGTGCTGTCGCTTTATAGGCAAATTCTACGGAGCCTCAATTCGCCGGCGCTGCCGTTGAGCTTCGCGGCGAGGCTCGCGAAGAAGGCGGAGGTGCGAGCAATGTTCTGGGTGGGTTCCGATGAACGCTCTCTGCACAACATTACTGACCTAATCGACGCCGCAGAGTACTCTCTCTCCTTTCTTAGAAAAGGCCAACTGCCTCCTCGTCACATTAACTAAACAATGCTAACATGTTTTTTGATTTATAATGTACATGTATTTTAGTGTAGTGTGTGAATAATTGTATGATGGCATAAATGCTTTGATAATTTTTGGAGCAATGATTCATAATTTTCTCCTGTTGTGTGCATTCGTTGAACTGAATTTTGAAATTTGTTTGGTGTGAAATGAATTCCTGAAGTTAGTTTTATGTATTCATCTACGTTGATGTTACTAACTGGTTCTATAGTTAATAGCTTGTACTCCCAGCTGTCTTTTTTTTTTTCAAATCTGCTATGAAGGTGAGATTTCTATCGTTCATTTTATATTTATGGTAGGTTGTACATAATTTGAGTTTTCTATTAAGATAAAGTGTTGTTTCAATATCCTCATTTTATGAGAAAAATTCTTACTTATCAAGCTGTAAATAGTATGTTTTTGGAGCTATTAAGTTTGTTGTTGACCATTATGTTACCCTTTAAATTAAATTGTCTACTAGCAAAGAAAAAGGATATTGTTTGCTTGCAAGAAGCAAGTAATCTCCCTTCTTGTGGATACAAAATAAATCTCAAGAATCAGTCCACCAGAAGTGACCTGGTCTTAGAATTCTATGCCCGCGGTGATTCCATAACACAGTCACTCTGTGCATTTATGAAAAAGGATCCAGAATCATTGATGCTGTAAAAGAATTAACAACATATATCAATTCCACGTTCATAGCAATGTTGAATTTGAAATAAACTTAAATGTATTACCTATTGAAGTCTTATGGATAGTTAATGTATTAAGCGATAGAGTTTTTTTAAGTAGTTAATATATTAACCAATTTTGTTTGTTGAGTAGAATGGTCTCATATGTGTGTTTATAAATTATATTATTAATTACATGAATAACACAACAATAATAACAAAGATAAATCAGTTTTTCACAAAGTAAATTTATTATCTCCAAACAACACAATAATACTTAAATGCATCTTCTATAGTTCACAACGTACAACTTTGGTTGTAAGCTGAAGATGATAATAGCAGGAAGAGATCAAATTTACATGAAGAAGAATGATATGCAATAATTTATGCTTTACTGATGCTTCTTCTCTTCTTCTCTTAGGAAGCCCTAGACTGAAAGATCAACCTTAGGATAGAAAACCAATCTTTAGTACACGCTGATACGAAATCCTCTTAGGATAGAAAACACTATGCTAGAAACACCTTAACTTAAGTTAGGAAACCAACCTTAGTTTAACACCAAGATAAACACCCTAGAAAAATCAACTTTGAACTAAAAGAAAATAAGAGATTAAGAAAACCTCGAAGAGCACTGAACCATGAGCCAAGTAGGACCAAAGAAATTACAATCTCACAAAAATAGATTAGGATAAAACTCTAGAACATGCCTAAAAGATATAAATGACTATCCAAGAAACAAAATTAAACAACAAGAAAACTAGGCTAAGGAATATAGGACAAAAATAAAACCAAAGGCTTAGAGCTTAAATCCTTAAATCCTAAACAGACAAACATAAAACTTGAACCCCAAACATACAAAACCATAAGATAACACTTAGGTCTTAGGAAATAGAAAGACATATAGGTTAAAACACCCAAACACATGGCTAGACGATATCCTGTCTAAAAGCGTTCAAGAGAGATTGAGTTAAATGCTTAAAACTTTCCCAAGACGATAGTTATATAGAGAACTTTCATTAAAACTTGGAGAAAAGACGTGTTTCTTTCCCATACAACTTTCTTTTGAGTGTTTCCTCTTCCTCTTGCATTTTCATCTTCTGTCTCCCCTGCACATTTATTTTCTCTTCCCTTTGGATCTCACTGTCGTCGTTACCGCCACTCCATCAATCACGAATTGCTCTACACGAACCTCTTCTAGTTGCAAAGCACTACCAATCTCACCGCACACTGCATGTTTTCATTGCATCGTGCTTAAAACCAACGTTGGGAGGGTCCTCTGCGAAGCTCTTTACACTACGTTGTAAGGTTCCTCTACGAAGTGTAATGTCCCAAAATTTAGGGTGTCACGAGTGATTACAAAAACCAATAAAATTTCAAACTTTCTTTTATCATAGTGCGGAAACGTACTTTTCAAAAACCTTAATAATTAAACTTGCATACTTTTTTCAAAACATAATAGTTCCAAAATCCTTTTCCAATTACATTATTCATAAATAATGAAAGTAACGAAGGAAATATAGAACTCCAATTACATTGTCTCAAAGTTCAAACACAACAACTTTAAAAGAAAATCCCAAGTTTGTCCTTTGTCATCTCTTGAATCTATCATGTCTCAACAACATGTATAACATCATTTGCTCATGTATAACACATTATATGATCATTGCCAATAACATCATTCACAAATCACACACAAACACGTATGGGGTAAGCTACCATTAAAACAATCATAATAACAGGATATCAACACACTAATTATATTAATCATAAACAACCACCACATACATACTAGTAATAACAATAGGATTCCTAATCCTCTAACATAAACAATTCAATAATAACAAATGACTCGATCCCCAATCCTCAAACCTCGATCATCGATCCTTGATCATTAACCCTTGATATCATCACTCACATCTTACACATAGACCATTGGTCTATCCACTCATTAGCATCTACGCTAACTACTTACTATAACCATTATAATAACATCATTATCAACATAGCATGACCTTGAGCATCTTCAATACCATGATCATTATTATAGATACACCACCATTGTGACTATCTCAGTCATGAACAACACCATGAGCATCACCGTACCATGAACATCATAGTGGAAAGAGTTTGTCTCACTTCATTACCTTACCTCACTCACTTGTAGCCGTTCCTACAAACTCATTTGTAGCTTCCTTACAAATACACTCGAGTCATCCTTCTTCTAGCTTTGAACTCGTTCCCTTATCACAAAAGGTGGAACATTTATCCTCCCACCAAAGAAGATTCAACACTCGATTATCATTCTCTTTTCTACAACTATTTTCCAAAGAGAACACCACTCTTTTTTCAACAACCAATGCCAAAAAGAGCACTCTCTTTTCAACAACTAATGCCAAAGGGAATATCTTTCCCTTTTTAACAACCAATGTCAAAGGGAATATCTCTCCCTTTTTAACAACCAATGCTAAAGGGAATACATATCCGTAGATAGAACTAAGATTTACTAAGTATAGCTAGTAGACCTATCCACCACTCTCATACTCATCAATCACATATTCAGGTACGTCCCAACACTCACTCATGCTCCAATCTCTACCACAAGTCAAAACTGACCCTAAACACAACTCTTAATCTCATTCTCTGGTTATCATCACATTTCACAGCTCCTTAAGCTTGGTCCACGTTTATTCTTCATCAAAACGCATTCTTCTAATAAAAATACCCTAGGATAATCTATTACCATAAGTGATAATTAATTATTTTTGAAACATACACATGTACACAAATTA